TAGAGAATTACGAAAGCGATAAAAATTGCTCGAGAGTTAATGAATCAAAATTACTCGAGAGTTTCTAGAATCTGCATTAAAATTTACGAGCCTGATAAACTTTAACAGATGTTTAAAATGTGAGTACTTTAAAGTTCGTGTCATTCAGACAAATTCACTTTCTCAAGGTCTGTCAAAGTTTATCATTTTCATACATTTTAATGGACGTTCTTGCAACTGGATGTTCGACTTTTAAAGGATCTTTAAAAAAATGCTTTGATAGTTAAGATATCAAAATTACTCGAGAGTTGAAAACTTCTTTAATTATTGCAATTACTAGAGAGTTGAAGAATCTTTTATTATTACTATTACTCGAGAGGTTTGAAAATTGTTAGAGAGGTAAGAGATCTCTATTACTCGAGAGTTAAAGCACCTTTAACTATTACTCGAGTGCAAACTCGAGAGTTTTAAGAACCGCTCTAGAATTTAGTAAAAATCATGCACATTTACATTCTAACTTTTAGAGAATTACGAAAGCGGTAAAAATTGCTCGAGAGTTAATGAATCAAAATTACTCGAGAGTTTCTAGAATCTGCATTAAAATTTACGAGACTGATAAACTTTAACAGATGTTTAAAATGTGAGTACTTTAAAGTTCATGTCATTCAGACAGTTTACTTTCTCAAGGTCTGTCAAAGTTTATCATTTTCATACATTTTAATGGACGTTCTTGCAACTGGATGTTCTACATTTAAAGCATCTTTAAAAATTGGTTGATAGTTAAGATATCGAAATTATTCGAGAGTTGAAAACTTCTTTAATTATTGTAATTACTCCAGAGTTAAAGTTTCTTTAATTATTACTATTACTCGAGAGATAAGATATCGAAATTACTCGAAAGTTAAGGCATATTTAATAATTACTCGAATGCGAGCTCAAGAGTTTTAAGAATTACTCTGGAATTTAGTAAAAAGCATGCACATTTACATTGTAACGTCTTGAGAATTATTAAATCGTTAAAAATTGTTCGAGAGTTAATAATTCAAAATTACTCGAGAGTTTCTAGAACCTGCATTAAAATTTACGGGCCTGATAAACTTTGACAGATGTTGAGAATGTGAGTAATTTAAAGTTCATGTCATTCAGATAGTTCACTTTCTCAAGGTCTGTCAAAGTTTATCATTTTAATGGACGTTCTTGCAACTAGATGTTCGACTTTTAAAGGATCTTTTAAAATTGCTTGAAGGTTAAGATATCGAAATTACTCGAGAGTTGAAAACTTCTTTAATTTTTGTAGTTACTCAAGAGTTTAAGTATCATTAATTATTACTATTACTCGAGATGTTTAAAAATTGTTCGAGAGATAAGATATCGAAATTACTCGAAAGTTAAGGCAAATTTAATAATTACTCGAGTGCGAGCTCAAGAGTTTTAAGAATTACTCTGGAATTTAGTAAAAAGCATGTACATTTACATTGTAGCGTCTTGAGAATTATTAAATCATTAAAAATTGTTCGAGAGTTAATAATTCAAAATTACTCGAGAGTTTCTAGAACCTGCATTAAAATTTACGGGCCTGATAAACTTTGACAGATGTTTAGAATGTGAGTAATTTAAAGTTCATGTCATTCAGATAGTTCACTCTCTCAAGGTCTGTCAAAGTTTATCATTTTAATGGACGTTCTTGCAACTAGATGTTCGACTTTTAAAGGATCTTTAAAAATTGCTTGAAGGTTAAGATATCGAAATTACTCAAGAGTTGAAAACTTTAATTTTTTTAATTACTTAAGAGTTTAAGTATCTTTAATTCTAACTATTACTTTTGATGTTTTAAAATTACTCGAGAGATAAGAGATCTCTTTTACTCGAGAGTCAAGGCATCTTTAATTATTACTCGATTGCAAGCTCGAGAGTTTCAAGAATTGCTCGAGAATTGAATAAAAAATATGCACATTTACATTTTAACTTTTAGAGAGATATTAAATCGGTAAAAATTTTTCGAGAGTTAGTAAATCAAAATTACTCGAGTTTCTAGAATCTGCATTAAAAATTACTAGCCTGATAAACTTTGACAGATGTTTAGAATGTGTGAGTACTTTAAAGTATATCATTCAGACAGTTCACTCTCTCAAGATCTGTCAAAGTTTATCATTTTAATGGACGTTCTTGCAACTAGATGTTCTACTTTTAAAGCATTTTTAAAAATTGCTTGATAGTTAAGATATCAAAATTACTCGAGAGTTGAAAACTTCTTTAATTATTGTAATTACTCGAGAGTTAGTGTCTTTAATTATTACTATTACTGCAGATGTTCAAAAATTGCTCGAGGGATAAAAAATCGCTATTACTCGAGAGTTAAGGCATCTTTAATGATTACTCGAGTGTGAGTGTAAAAAATTCTGTTATTTGTCAACAATGATATATTTTAAATATTTCTTTGGCGAAGGAAATAAATTCCAATTATCAAATGCGACAAATTGAACAATAAAAATTGAAGGAAATTAATAGAAAAACTCCTGAAAACAACAACTACTACTTCTACTACCCCTTTTGATATAATTCTGTGCCTGTTGCGGTATTAGCCAAAGGAGTAGTTGTTTTCAGGTCGATCGATGTTTCTTTGACACGGACCTTGAGGTTTCTTTCAAAGATATTGCATATGGTAACTATGTCGGCATTCTTCACACATTCTTGACTGGTAACCCCAGGAGTCAAGGTGTTTATATTAACATTATTTTAAAAAAGTTGTTTATTATTACGACAGCTTTCAATCTGTATCTGTTGGCTCTTGTATTTATTTTTAATAAAAGATTTACCTCTATTGTTATCAATATCCAATGACATACGACAATGAAAGAAGAATATTTTTATTCAAGATTCAACTTGTAAGTAATAAGGAAACGACGACGATTTTCTATGTTTTTCTATTATTTTTTTTTGTGATTTTCTATGAATATTCGCTGTTTGTCACCCTTTTCAACGTTTCGCTCTTCATCGATGACTCTTCAGCATCTTCTCTAGTGGTTTTTGTTCTTCGGTTTAGGCATGCACTGCTCTTTACATGATTTCTAAGTATTCTTTAGTGTTCCTCCATAGTTTGGGCCTTTTTGACTTCTCGTATCAATAATTTTACGAATTTTCAAGGTTGTCTATGATTTTCCATGGATTTCTTTAATTTTCTATGATTTTCTACGAATATCTGACTGTCTGTCTGTCCACTTTTCAACGTTTCTTCTTCATCATCTTAGGTCTTCACTGCTCTCTGTATGATTTTCTACGAATATCCAACTGTCCGTCACCCTTTCAACGTTTCGTTTTTCCTCTTCTTCAGCTTATCCAGTGGTTTCTTTTTCATCTTAGGTCTACATTGTTGTGTGTATGATTTCTTCAACGTCTCCTATTCATCTTTCCTTGTTTGTCATCTACCCTGTTTATATTTCATCTCCTCTATGTATCAGTTGACATTCTTTACCATGTATAGGTTGCATCATGTATAGTGCTTGCAATATAAATAGAATACTTCTGTAAATTTTTATGGTTTTCTCTGATTTTTCTATGATTTTCCAAACATTTTTTATAATTTTCTATGAATTTTCTAGAAATTTCTATGATTTTCTTTGAATTTATATGGTTTTCTTCGATTTTCCTTAAGGTTTTCTATAATTTTCTATAACTTTCTGCGCTTTTCTTAGATTTTCTAGAGGTTTGCGTTACCGGCTCATAGATTTTCCGTGAGTTTCTAAGATTTTTGCTAAGATTTCATACATACTACACCAGATTGTATTGTATGTTGCATATGCATATGGTTGAAGGGTTAACAACATTGTACTCTATAGACGTTTGGGTGTTGCATATGGTTCACTCCTCTCTTCTCTTTCTTCTCCTCCTCCTCCTCCTCCTCCTCCTCCTTCTCCTCCTCCTTCTCCTCTTTCTCCGCCTTCTCCTCTTTCTCCGCCTTCTCCTCTTTCTCATGCTTCTCATCCTTCTCCTCCTCCTACGTAATATTACTATTGAACGTAATGTTAGGTTAGATGACAGTTGTTCTTTGACATTTATGACTGTTAGGTTAGTAACTCTGTTGCCTTTTTGGCTTCGCTGCTGCACTCTCTTCAACGTCCCCGTCTTCTTCACAACGACATTTTTCCCGTTTGAATCAGGCTAATAGCAGCTGAGATGAACGATGCTGCCCTTTTGGCTTTGTTGTTGCACTCTCTTTATCGTTACATTATACCGTTTTTCCCGTTTGAATCGGACCAGTAATAACCGAGAAACATGCTTAGGCCCTTCTGGCTTTCGTTCTAGGCATGATTTTTCTCTTCAACATTCATCTAAAGCACGTTCTCTACATAGTGCCGTTTTTCCCGTTTGAATTGGACCAGTAAAAACCGAAAGACATGCTTAGGCACTTCTGACTTTCGTTCTGCGCAGGATTTTTCTCTTCAGCGTTCATCTATACCGCGTTCTTTACATAATTTCGTTTTTTCCGTTTGAATCGGACCAGTAATAATAGAGAAACATGCTTAGGTCCTTTTGTCACTGCGCAGGATTTTTCTCTTCAACGTTCATCTATACCGCGTTCTCTACATAATGCCGTTTTCCCCGTCCTTTTGGCAATCGCATGATTTTTCTATTCGACGTTAATCTATACCGAGTTCTCTACATAATGCCGTTTTTCCCGTTTGAATCGGACCAATAGTAGCCGAGATACATACTTAGGTCCTTTTGGCAATGGCATGATTTTTCCATTCGGCGTTAAAAAAAATTTAATTCCCCCCACTCCCCAGCTAGCGGCCCGACAAGTTAGTAACTAATAAGATTCTCGACGCGTGACCTTGAAAGCGTATAATATTGGCAGAATAAACCTTAGCGATTTTACATGTTAATTTACATAAGAAGTGTGCCCGAACTCCTATAGTACCTTTACTAGTCTTTTTATAATTTATTACTTACATTAGTTGTACAACCCTGCAATGTATTACACGAAAAGTTCTTATAAAACTTAAAATATCCTTTTTTTACAGCAGGAACGAGGATGGGAGTACAAACAGATATGCGTGACGAGGGTGCCTGGTTACGGATTCGGGATAGCAGTTTCTGGAGGTCGGGACAACCCGCATTTTGCATCAGGTGACCCCAGCATAGCCGTCAGTGACGTACTAGCATCGGGACCCGCAGAAAGGCTACTACAGTAAATATATTTTTTTAATTTTAATGTCTATAGGTACTGTCATAAAAGCCACCCGTAACTGTACCTTTGTACTGTTTTAAATAATTTTAGAAATAATCAAAATAATAATTATGATTGTTATTGAAAAAAATATTGTTTAAATTTTGTATCTTTTTTTGCCATCAAATTAAAAATAATATCGCAAATTTATAATTAAATGTCCTGTACTATACATATTTATGTAGTATATTCTATAGTCCAGGAGATTTAAGTGTGGATTAAAAAAAATGGACCCATTCAATGATTTTTTTAAATATATATTTTTTTTTATAATTTGACTGGTTCCAACCGTTCTTCGATCGTCACTGTAGCGGCAATTTATTCTTGAAACATGAATTTCAGAGCTAAAGTGGATTGTAACCATGATATAATATCCGTGCCCAATACTCTCTTTTGGTTCATTTTTTATCTTTATTATCATCATTATTGTTTTCAGAGTAAACGACAGGATAATATCCGTAAACAACATCTCGCTCCAGAACGTGGATTACGCCACGGCGGTCCAAGTGCTGAGAGACTCCGGTGATACTGTGACGCTAGTGATAAAACGACGCACGATCCAACACAATCATGCGCACGCGCATAGCGCGTCCTTTAATGGCCCGCCGCTCGCGGCTTTGGCCGCCAATTCGCTGTCTACCAAAGTTACGCTTACCAAAAATTCCAAAAAAGAAGATTTTGGCATAGTCCTCGGCTGCAAATTGTTCATCAAAGAAATATCATCGAAAGCCAGAGATCAATTGTTGAACACCAATCAGATGCTAGAAATAGGCGATTTCGTCACCAAATTGAACAACACCAATTGCAACGATGCCATGTCTTTGAAAGAGGCTAAAAAAATCATCGACGGCACCAAGGACAAACTCCAAATCACCGTAGCCAGAGAATTCGGATTCAATTCGAACATATCCCACCAGACCCAGAGCTCCATCAGTACCACAGGGGCTGTTAATAACTTCTACAAGGGCGACGATTTTTTGACTTCCGGTCAAAGTTACTCCAACCAGAATTTGTACGTTCAACCGCCGACTAGGAATCCGAATCTGAACCAAAACGGAGGATTCGAAGAGAAATTGGATCCGAACAGCGGTCCGAATTCCTTACCGGACGAGAAAAGTAATTTGGCACCGAGGGGGAGATCTAGAGGGCCGTTATCAGAGGCTAATTTGAACCAATTAGAGAATAGGAATAGTATATCGGGATACGGGCTTCTGAAGGGGAGGGATGAACCTCCAAGACCACCGCCACCGAGGGCTGAAGGTATAAATAATGATTTTAAAATTATGAATAAATAACAGCATTATTATTGTATGTATTGCTTTCTTTTAGATTATTACAGCACTAGGAGGCAAATGTACGAAGATGATCCTATTATTCAGAAAACGAAGCAACCCATGTAAGTATATCAAAAAATTTTTAAATTTCATATCACAGCTAATAAACATACCTATTAATATTTTTTCTAAAATTTTATTAACTTTTCTCTGACTAAAATTTTATAGTGCAGGAAAATGTTACAAAGCAAATAGAAAACCGATGATTAAAATTAGACAAAAATATTTTTAAAAACGTTATTAACATTGTCCGGACTATAATTTTGAAGTCTAGGAACATAAAATGACATGTGTCCGATAAATAGAAAAGAAAAGAAGATTAAAATTGACTTAGTTTTCTTCTCGGATTATGATTTCCATAGTCCAGTCAGAATGACGTAAATTTTAGAATACTATACGATACTTGTTATTTTAAACTTTTTTTTACACAATTTTTATAGTACGAGAAATTTTTCTTTCGGAATATGCTTCTGGTCTATAAGATATTCCTGAAATTTTCCCACTGTCTATTATTTTGATACATTAGTATAATATTCTTTGGTTTTTTAATGAAAATTGATTTTAAAAAAATATATTTTTATTAATGTTTTTTCTTAAATTCCAATATTACTCTCTGACCAAAATTTTATAGTTCAGGAAAATGTTAGAAAGGAATATTAAATTAAAATATTTTCTAAAATCTTTTTAACTATAACTATAATTTCGTAGTTCAGGAACACATGACATAATATGTTCAATAAATGGAAAAAGAAATTAGCCCTCTGGTACTCGTGATAAAACTTCAGTTAAATTTGATTTAAACCCATTGTAAGCAACGAAATGTATTCTATTTTCTATTGGAATACCACAGGGTTCTAATCTTGGACCGTTATCGTTCTTAATATCAATATAGTGCAGGAAAATATTGCAACTAAATAGAAAAATAAATAACGATGATTCATATATGATATTAAAATATTTTCCAAAATTTTAATAACATTGTTGTAGAATTGGAACATAAATAACATGTTTCCAATAAATAGAAAATAACAAATTATTAATTTTGACTTAGTTTGAAAGTGTTTTCAACTTTCTCGGATTGATTTTCATAGTTCACTCAAAATTTTCGAATAATATACAAAAGTTTAGGGCTTATAAATATATATAAAATAAACTAAATCTACAGTCTTTCAGTTATTTAATTAACAATTTTATCTTTTCATTTAAATTTTAAAAATAATTACTTGCCAAATTTTATAATACACAAAAAAACATTTTTTATTAGTTTCTCAATAAATTTTATCCTTTCAAAGTTTCTGTAGTCGTTTGAAGTTAATAAGCATCCAATCCCAAGATATGATTCTGAGTTGATTCTGATTGAAACCCATTGTGAACAACAGTAGCTGATTTTCAATGAGCAGACAAAAAAATTAACACCGAATAACGACATAAAATATTTGTGCGAAGAATGAACAAATATAATAACACAAACAAATACAAATTCTTGTACAGAAAAATTTATTGCTCGACAAGTAATTGACAAAGATTTTTACTTCTATGGTACCGGAAGACTGGCCATTTTTTTACAATCAGCTAAGAAATGTTATATATTTGGGCCAGTACAAACAGGTAGACATAATGATTAAATTACAAAAGTACCTAAAAGGTGAAGCGAAATCAGCAGTTGCTGGAATGATGTTAGCTGCATATAATGTTGATCTAGTAGAAACTTTAAAAATGAGATTTGGCAGGCCAGAAAAAATTATTGACAAATTAATTATAAATATAAAGTATATTCCTTCTATAAAAAAATAATCTTAAAAACTAATACTTTTTTCGAATGAAGTTGCCAATTTAGTAGCCACAATGAAAACATTAAAAATCTTTTGGGCACATGGCGAATCCTCGATTGCTTAGACATGTTAAAATTGAAATGGGGACAAGTAGTAGCAACGAGGGATGGAGATGTTGATTTAGAAGACTTCAGCAGATGGGTAACAGACCTAGCCAAAGCAACAAGTTATATCGTTACATCGAGCTGGTCGAAGACAGAAAAGAGTAATTTCAAAGCTTATGTCTCAAAGTTGAAAACAGAAATAGTCCTTAGTATTACTCGATCTTCAGAGACTAAACAGAATAACTTCAGTTACTGCGATGGTGAAACACATGAGGCAGAATGTCCACTAATAAAACCAAACGATATAGAGTCACGTTGGAAAGTGGTGACTGAAAAAAATTATGCTTTTGTTGTGTCACCATAAGACGAAATGTAGAAGCACAATATCCTGTGGTAGGTATTGATAATTGCAGAGCCTTACCACCCGCTTCTTCATAAGTTAAAAGTTGAAAATTCCATACGGAACGAGACCTTACCTGTTTTGGCACTTTATGATGAAGCATCGATAGAATAGTAGCTAAACTGGGATTAGTTGGAGAGCCTCAATGAGCTTTATCTACAGTGGACAAATGAAGAAACATCTAAACTACAAAATTCACGATGCCTAGACATGAATACATCAAATCGTGAGGCGAATAAGAAGAATTACCTACTGAATAAAGTACATACAGTAGATAACTTGGCACTATCTTCACAGACAATCAAATTAGAAAGTTTGAGATATCATGAATATCTTAAACGAATAACTGCAGAAGACATACCCGGAGAACCGATTCTGTTGATTGGTCAAGACAACATTCATTTAATAATACCAGAGCAAGTTTTAAGCGGACCAGAAAATGTTCCTATTGCTACATGTAAACAAAACTTATCCTATGAACATCAACTAGATAAATTAGTAAAACAAAGCTTTTTCACTAGATTCCTTCGGAATCGATATCGATAAGCAGCAGATGTCACCCAATGAAAAAAGAGCAGTGAACATAATGAAAACTACAGGAAGATTTAAGATTGGACTTCTATTGAAGGAAGATAAGCCGAGACTCCCAGAAATCAAGAGCGTAGCTATTCAAAGACTGCGCTAGGTAGAAAGAAAATGTATAAAAGATGAGAAGTTAGCAGAAGAATATTCTCAGAAAATTAGGAGCTATGTAGAAAAAGAATATGCAGGGAAACTGACACCTGAGGAGGCTGCTTTGAAGGTCCAACCACTTGGTATTTGCCTTATTTTCCTGTAATGAATGTTAACAAGAAAAAACTAAGGCTGGTTTTTGATGCAGCGTCAAAATCATTTGGTAAAAGCCTGAACGATCATCTCTTAGCGGGGCCAGACTTACTGCAATTCTTAATAACAATTTTATGAAAATTCCATCAAGGGAAAATAGCTTTCTGTGGTGATGTTCGAGAAATGTTCCATCAAGTAGAAATCAGGGAAAAAGACAGATGTGCTAAAAGATTTCTTTGGGGGATCTGCAGCTCAAAAGAGAGCCCGATGTCTACCAGATGACAGTAATGACTTTTGGAGCTACGTGTTCGCCAGCATGTGCACAGTTTATTAAAAATCTGAATGCTGAAGAACTTGCTGACGACCCCAAAATTCTTAAAGCCATAACACAAAAATTTTACGTCGATGATTATCTGGAGTCGCTGAATTCTCTCGAAGAAGCTATTTAAACCATATCAGAAGTAAGATAAATCCTACTGATAGGAGGCTTTGACTTGGTGAACTGGATGACCAATTCCTGAGTGATTCAAGAACATTTGTCAGCAGATCTGTTAGCGACTACTAAAAACTTGGGCGATGGACACTTTCATAAAGTTCTGGGAATGTGGTGGAACTCAGAGAACGATACCTTTATGTCCAAGCTAAATAATTACGAAAAGTATCTCAAAAGAAAAGTGAATAAAAGACATGTCTTAAGTTTAGCGATGGCTCTGTTTGACCCACTCGGCTTAATCACCTTTTTTACCATAAGGACTAAGATAATTGGAGGGTGCCTGGACAAAGTGGACAAAAGATTTGCAAGAGATAGAAAAACTTGCAGTCCCTATGTGTTACTCAAGAAATTTACCGGTAGCAAAGAAAATTGAAGTGCATGTCTTTTGTGATAGAACCTAGAAAGCATACGCTGCTGTTTGCTATTTAAGGGTAATTTCCGAACAGAAAATAGACATTTCTATACTAGCAGCAAAGGTAATAGTATCTCCACTAAAACCACTCTCAATACCTAGGCTAGAGTTACAAGCCGCAATTATGGCAAGTCGGTTAGCTAACTCTCTGCTCGAAAAATTATAAATTCCAATAAATCAAGTTTACTTTTGAACACACTCCAAATGTGTAATTAATTGGATACGCAACGACGACAGAAAATTCAAGCAGTTTGTAGCATGTAGAATAGGAGAAATTCAAGAGTTGACCTGGCAAGAGGATTGGAACTGGGTACCCACTGATTGTAATGCTGCCGACTTAGCAACAAGGTACTCAGAATCACAGAACTTGAATACTTGGTTCTGTGGGCCGTCATTTCTACAGGAAAGAAGATGGATTGTAATTTTCCAAGAAAAATGCTACCTCCAGGAAATGACATTTCTAAAGAATGGTAACAAACTTCCAAAGAAAAGTACAATTTATTCAATAAACCCAAGTTTCGAAGATGGAATATTCGTTTTGAATGGAAGAACCGACTTATCAATCCACATGGATCGTCAAACCAAAAAACCTTCTTGTGAAACATTACCATAAGGAATGTCGTCACTTTGGGGTGGAACTAATATTAAACCAATTATGACAAAAATATTGGATTGCAAATAGAAGAACAGCCGTTAAAACAGCTTTTTAAAAATGTTTAGTATGCAGACATCAGAAGTCATAACCCAAGATACCTCTTATGGAACAAATACCTGTTACAAGATTGAGTCGTGAAGTACGGGCCTTCGTGAATACAGGTATGGATTATTTCGGACATATCCATGTTACAGTAGGCGGAAGAAAAGAGAAGAGGTGGGGAGTCATTTTTACGTGCATGGCAGTTCAAGCAGTACATCTAGAGGTATCTCACATAAACACAGACTCCTCACTGATGGCGATAAGACGGTTCGTTGCAAGAAGAGGTAAGCCAGCCACAATAACATGTGATAATGGTACCAACTTGAAAGTAGCAGCTAAACAGGTAGAAACTGACATAAAGGACGAACAACTGACAGATTCCATGACAGCAAAAGGAATAAACTTAAAATTTAATACCCCAGCAGCACCTTTCATGGGCGGAGCATGGGAGAGAATGATAGGGAGCGTGAAAAGGGTAAAATTTTACATGAACAGTCAATCAAGGATGAGGTCCTTTTAACCCTTTTCGCTGAAGCTGAAAATATTTTAAACTCCAGACCAATAACAAAGATCTCAACAGATCCTGAAGATCTTAGTCCCCTAACACCCAATCATTTTCTATTCGCGAACGATGGCCAATGCAAATCTTCTACTTCCAGGCAGAATGCTAACTGTTTACGAAGTGACTGGAAGAAGCCTCAAATGTTGCCTGATATTTTCTAGAGTCGTTGGTTAAAGAATATCTACCGACTTGAACCAAAAGAAGTAAATGGAGAGACGATAAAGCATCTGTCAAGGTTAATGACGTTGTGACACTTGTAGATGACAATGCACTTCCATACAATTGGAAACTCGGCCTAATTTAAAATCTTTACCCCGGTCCAGACGGACGGATCAGAGTGGTTAACGTGAGAACATCAACCGGTTTGCTAAGGAGACCTGCAAGGAAACTTTGCAAGTTGGAACTTAAAGCCTTGGTTTCATTGAACACTCCGTCACGGTGAGCGGACAGTCCTTCGACCGCTGAAGACGGTGATTTCCGCCCGAGGTGGTTGGTTAAATGTAGAAAATAAGACCTTCTCTATGTCTGTACGTGCTGTTTATGTATTTTGAATGTAAACGAACGGTACTAAAATGAACGCAAATAAATTGTTTGCTTTGTTATTGTTGACAGAGGAAGAACAAGAGGAACTGGCAATTGCAACCGTCAGTTTCCAATAATCCAGTGGATAGATTGTTTTTGTGTCGTGATACCGAATGTGCCTTTAACATCACTTTGTAGCGGATGTTTTTTTGGAAATAAAACCAAATTTAGGGAGTATTTTAGACTTTCTACAGATCTTTTTGAATTCGTGTTGAGTTTTATAAAGGACGAAATTTTCAAGAAACCTACAAATAAAGTCATAAAGTGATTTGTATGTGTGAATTTGTCACTCACTGTTTTAAAAATAAAAATATAATATAAAATATAAAAAAAGTAAAAGTCAGAACTCATAAAAAGCCTTTTATTTCTAAAAGAAGCGACGATACAAAACACCTAATATCAATTAGTGGTTTGTAATAGGATATTGTTTGTAGAGAAATTGTGATTTTATTAACTAGAACTGCAATTCAAATTAATTTGGAGCTTATTTTGTTTAACAGCCCCGACGCCAGGTTCATAACGTTCCACAAAGAAGGTTCGGTGGGTATCCGATTGACGGGAGGCAATCACGTCGGTATTTTCGTAACGGCAGTCCAACCAGGCAGTCCAGCTTCCCTTCAAGGACTCCAACCAGGAGATAAAATTCTTAAAGTACGCAGTTTTACTCCGCAAGTCCCTTTTTTTGCTACTCCAAATATTTTCTAGGTTAACGATATGGACATGTCTGGGGTGACGAGAGAAGAAGCGGTGCTGTTTCTACTTAGTCTTCAAGATCGAATAGAACTGATAGTGCAATTTTGTAAAGAGGAATACGACAGCATAGTGGCTTCCCAGAAGGGCGATAGTTTTTATATAAAAACGCATTTCCATTACGATAATCCAGCGAAAGGGGAAATGCCTTTTAGATCCGGAGATATTTTCCACGTCATCGATACTCTGTATAACGGAGTTGTGGGGTGTTGGCAGGTTTTTAGGATAGGTAAGTCCCATTTATTGATGGTTTCTTCATTCTTTAGTTTATTTATTATTTACTTTTACGGTTAAAAACGCCTTGTATTTCTAACTGCTTAATCTTTTTCAAGGGCGCAATAACCAAGAAGTCCAAAAAGGAATCATTCCGAACAAGTCCAGAGCCGAGGAACTGGCGACGGCGCAATTTAACGCAACGAAGAAGGAAATGTCCGCTAACGAATCCAGAGGCAGTTTCTTCAAAAGGCGGAGAAGCTCCAATCGCAGATCGAAGAGTTTGGGCAAGGAGCATTGGGACGATTTGCTGTTTTCCGATACCGTTTCCAAGTTCCCAGCTTACGAAAGGGTGATCCTCAAGCATCCCGGTTTCACCAGGCCGGTTATAATGTTTGGGCCTATCGCGGACGTCGCCAGGGATAAACTGTTGAAGGATTTTCCCGATAAATTCATATCGCCACGTAAGTTTTTCGAATTTAACTAAACCAGATATCAGGAAACTATTTTTGACATTTATTCGTAGAATTAGACGCGACAGACACCAACAGCAAGTCCAGTAAATCGTTACAAAACGCCAATATCATCAGATTATCGGCCATCCGAGACGCCATATCTACCGGAAAACATGCGTTACTCGACATCACTCCTAACGCCGTCGAAAGGTTGAACTACGCTCAAATGTATCCGATCGTCGTATTTTTCAAAGCGGAAACCAAGATAGTAATAAAACAACTGCGACAGGGATTGCCCAAGTAAGACAAGGATCCATTTTTAACATGTTCTAACACTATAACTTAATAATATAAACAGATCTTTCAATATTATAAATAGCACTTCTAATATTATAAACGGCCTTTTTACTATTATGAGCACTTGTAAATTATAAATAGCAATCCAACACACATTTAATATTATAAATAGCTTTTTAATGTTACAAACAACAATATCAGTATTATTTTAAGTAGCACTTCTAATATTATAAAATTATAAATAGCCATTAAATATAATGTAACAGTTACCAACAATATCAATATTATAAATATAAATAGCTATATAATTTCATAAATAGCGATTTAATATTTGAAACAGCACTTTTATTATAATAAATACCGATTCTCATTATATAAAAGATACTTTAAATATTATAAACAGCAATATTTATATAAATATCCATTCAATATTATATAACATCGCTGTTATTGTTAAAAATAGCAATCCAATGTAGCCGACATATTTTTATTATAAATAGGTTTCTAGTATTATAAATATTATAAATAAATATCAAATATTATAAACGGAAATATTAATATTATAAATAACATTTAATAGAGTCTACATACTTTTAATATAATAAATAGCTTTTTAATACCGAATATAGCATTTTTAATATCTTAAATATGAATTAAATAATATAAACAATATTTAATATTTTAAATAGTTGTTTAACACTGCAAATTATAATTTTAAAGCCAGAAAAAGCTATCTAAAGTTATTTTAAACTGCACCTTCAATATTATAAATAGCGATTTAATAATATAAACAATTTTAACATTATAAATAGCGATATAATAATTTAAACAACACTTAATAATATAAATAGCACATTTAATGTTATAAGTAACATTTTTAATGTTATAAATTGCGATTTAATATTATAAATAACAATTTAATGTTATAAATAGCGATTTAATATTATAAATAGCAATTTAATGTTATAAATAGCAATTTAGTATTATAAATAGCGATTTAATATTACAAATAGCAAATTTAAAATTATAAATGCTATCTAATATCATAAATAGCACTTTTAATATTATAAATTGCAATACAAAAAACTTTTAATACTTTAAATGGCTATAATAATAATAATAATAATGTAAAGAACTTTTAATACTATTAATAGAAATATAATACCATATAATATATTTTGAATTTATAAATAGTTATCTAATATTATAAATAGCAATATCATTGTTATAACATTAAGTAGCTGTCCAATATTATATAACAACTATTTTAAGGTTATAAATAGAACCTAATATTATTAACAACAATATTAATATTATAATTGGCTATCTAATATTGTAAACAGAAATTTTAATATTATAAATAGCAATATCATTGTTATAACATTAAATAGCTGTCCAATATTAAATAACAGCTATTTTAAGGTTATAGATAGCACTTAATATTATTAACAATATTAATATTATAATTGGCTAATATTGCAAACAGAAATTTTAATGTTATAAATAGCATTTTAATATTATAAATAGCACCTTTAATATTAAGTTATAACTCACTTAATTGATAATCATTTTTGACTTATATAATCAATTGAATTGGTGAGCCCAAAATTTTACATTTTAAAGTAAGATAGCCATTTTATTTAAAATTTCGATTGAGCTTAAAAACCGTACTAGATACCTATCCGAAGTACAGCTGATTACACCCGTGAATATTCGTAACTCAAAAGGTTTTTATTGTTTTTCTCGGAAGGCTGATTTTGGACATGTACGGTTTTCAAACTCACCGATTCGATTTCCTTTTTAATATAGTGTGTTTTCGTGTGCAGGTCGGCTCACAAAAGTTCCAAGAAACTTCTGGAGCAATGTCAAAAGTTGGACAAAGTGTGGAGCCATATTTTCAGTGCCATGATAACTCTGAACGACAATACTGACACGTGGTACCGAAAGGTCAGAGAAATTATAGATAAACAACAAACTGGCGCTCTGTGGATGTCTGAGAGCAAGGTGAGTGCCTACAATGAGATAATTATTGTTGGATTTTATTTATAGATATGGAAATTAATGTTTTTAACGTATAAATGTCACGTATCATACGTTGTTAATGAGTTTTTGACGAATGACGTTTGGCATTTGACGGCGTAACAAGGTAGAACTGAAGATAATGCCAAAAAATAGCAGTTATTACTGTAGTACTTAGTTTTATCTATTTAAACAGGTATTATTAGTGTAAATAATTAACCAGGTGGTGGAACAGTTACTTGTATACTTTTCTCGCTTTTTTTCCAGGTCCATGACTTCTTTACCGACATATACTTCCCCTCCATTCCCACCATTTACCTCCAACCGCGTTCTACCAACTCCCTGCCCCAAAGGCATCGACACTCCAGAAGCCGTTCGAGAAAATCGGCGCTTTCCATGTACAGTTCACCCCAGTTTATCCACAGAACCTCCCCGTACCGCTATCCCTCCGAAAATTACTCGTATTCCGGCAATTTTTCCAATTTATCGAGGATATCCAGCCAGAATAGCATAACGCCCGAGTTAAGGCCAAATGCAAGTAGTAGTGGTGTATTTTCTAACACTTTTGACGCTTCTGATACGTCGACTAACACGCATGCGCATGCCGATAACGAAATCGACCTAGATCGTAATTTGACACATAGTTACGTTAACGTTAGTACTTTAACGGATTTCGATGGGAATAATAACGATGCCAGTGAGGGGGGTAAGAGGGTTAAGAACGAGCCTATTTATTATGACGTACGCGACGGTACTGAGGTGAAAGCCAGAAGGGATTTGAGACACTTTATTATTAGGGAGGAGGTTTTTGGTGAAGTCTAAAGAATTTTTTTTATTGTTTCGAGGGTTATAATCAAAATAGCTATAATCTCTAATTTAATAGGAATTGTAGATAATTGGAATAATCTCTTCCCAGACAGTCAATCCATTGGATGTTTATCAGAAGTCCAACATTTTACCTAAGGAAATCCATTGAACTATACAAATGTCCCACTCTTGGACGTTCATTTGAACTCCATAAAAGGTCCATATATAGACTTGTATTGCTTATGGACAATTTATAGACATCACAACTTACATTAATAAGAAATAAAAATTGCAACTAGGGACATATTTTTATTATCATAAATAATATCAAGAATGTATTGGTTTTATACGCACTCCTTTCTGATGACGTTCTCAGTCAAAAACTTGCAAATCGAAAAAAATTCTTACTATAGAGTGTGTGGTGTAATCGAGTAAACAAAAATTTTTGGTACAGATGAAATCCTTTTGGTAGGGTATTTGGAACCAAAATCTAAGAATGTTGAGGGTGTTCACTACATCCCCCCCCTTTTTCAGAAATCCTCCAAGAGTAAACTTGATATTTTTTAATGTAATAAAATTCACACAGTTTATAGAATATTGAATTCTGAAAATTTTAAGGTATATGACACGCCCTTCAAAAATTAAAAAAAATATTAATTTTATTAAAAATTAAAAAAATATATATGAACAATTGTATTAAGTAATTTTGATAGAGATTTGTAAGATAAATACAAAAATGTATATTTTGTTTCCCCCCTTACCCCCTTATTTTTTATTAAAAACAATTAAAAAATAAAATATTGTTAATGTAGGTAGACTATAACACATTCGATCCCCACAGATTTTGTTCTCCCTCCCTTCCCCCTTTTGCAATAAAAAAAAAATTCACAGATTGATCATTATTTACTACTTAAAAAGGCAATCTCCTCGAAAGTTTAGTATTTGCTGTGTTAAAAAAAGAAGTACTTTCTTATGTTTTCGGGGTCGCTGCATTCAAATCAAACTCGATATTGACAGTTGACGGCTGTCAACTAACTGTCAAATAGTATGTGACAATCAAAATTGACAAAATTCAAAAATAAATAGATGTCTTCGAGGTTGCTGAATTCAAAACTGATGTCAAAAAGATGATATTGACAGTTAACAGCTGTTAACTAACTGTCAAACAGCATGTGAAAATCAAAATTGATAAAATCCATATGTAAATATATGTCTTCGAGGTTGCTGAGTCCAGAACTGATGGTAAAAAATCGATATTCACATTTTACAGCTGTCAAATAACTGTCAAGCCATAAGCATTAATCATTTTACAGCTGACAAATAACTGTCAAGCCATAAGCATTAATCAAAGTTGATAAAATCCACATGTAAATATCTGTTTTTTAGTTTGGTAAGTTCAAAACTGATATTAACAACTGGATATCGACAGCTGTCAACTAACTGTCAAACAGTATGTAACAATTGAAATCGATAAAATTGAGATGTAAGCATATGACTTTAAGGTTGCCTAATTGTAATCTGATGCCAAAAAGATATTGACAGTTGAGTACTATCGTTAATTAAATATTTGACTGTGCATGATAATGTGTCAAGATCACATCAAAGTATGTGGTCAAGATAGAGTAACGATGAGGTGGCAGTGAGCAAGCTTCATTTGTTTTTAAAATATCGTTTTTTTTTTACCTTCAGTTTTGAATTTAACGATCTCAAAAACATACGTATACATGTATTTTGATGTCAGGTTGCTTTGTGCAGCTAGTTTTGACAGCTTTTAACAAATCTAAGATAGCAGCTCAATTGCAAAACACAAATTTTTTTTTAATAAGAGTTAAAAAAAGCGCGTTGGGAGTACTATTATCTGAAGTGAATTGCATTCGAAAGTATATAAATATAAGAAAGCTTCTTTGAAAAGTATTATCTTTAAAAATATATACTTTTAAAACTAAAAGTATATATTTTCAAAGTTCAGTGATTATAATATTTTGAAATTATATCCCCAAGCACTGTGAAAGGGAATCTTTATATGACATAATTTTTCATTAGGCAATCATCAAATATTATGGTGGTTTGACCGTTATTTGACAGCCGTCTACTGTCAATATCGAGTTGAACTCAGCTACCTCAAAAACATATATTTACGTGTGGATTTTATTAATTTTGATTGTCACATGCTGTTTGACAGTTAGTTGACAGCTGATCACTGTCAATATCATCAATTTTGAACTCAGCAACCTCGAGGACATCTATTTACTCCTGAATTTTGTCAATTTTGATTGTCACATACTGTTTGACAGTTAGTTGACAGCTGTCAACTGTCAATATCGAGTTGTAAACATCAATTTTGAACTCAACTGCCTCCAAAACAGATATTTACATGTGGATTTTTCAATTTTGATTATTCCTTGCAAAATTGAGCCTTGTGCCCATTGAGACTTTTGCTCAGGATGCCGAAACGAACAACATATCCAAATTTCAGCCAATTTGACCGGGAGCCAATTGTCATAAGATTTGTGCGGGGTTCTTTTTAAATTATTTTTTTTTTATTATTATAAAAAAAGATAATTTTTGTGAAAAATCAGTTAGCGATCCCGTAGGAGTCGCTTTATAATTTTCAGCGACCCCATAGGGGTCGCCTTATAATTTTCAGCGTCCCCGTAGGGGTCTCTTTATAACAAATAAATCATTTTCGTTCGGTCAGCCTTCTCTTAAATAACCATTTAGGACGTCCTGTTGGCGTTCTTGTCTTAACCCCTTTTTTCTTCTTTTCTTCTTCGAGTCTGACCTGAATGGCCTTTTACTTTTGTATCTTGTCAACAGTAGCGAAAAGGTGAAGAAAAAATATTTATTTTCGGATATTTTTTGAACATCTATTGGACTTCCGAATGGGTATAACCATTGGAATATCTGAAAATGAATGTCCAATGGACATCCATATGAAGTTCATGAACATCCAGGATATTATTTGTACAAAATATGGGCGTCCAATGGACGTCGTGTGCTGTCTGGGTTTAGTATGCATACGATATTTTTTTAATAACCGTTTTTTAGTAGTTTATTTAGCTAATAAATAATTTATATTGCTTGCCTACACTTTAATGTTATTAAAAGTTTGATCATTCTAATCCTTGCTGCAAGATCGATATCATCGAAGATTCGTTCTAACACGATTTTATTACTGTTATTGTATGGCGATTTATAAGTAAGTACGGTTGGTAGTTGTCTAAATACTCGACCAGGAATAGTTTTGAAACTTGACCTTCTTTCTACTCATTTTTGAATCGCTTTACAAAAGAACGTATATAATTCTAAATTCTATTTGTATTTACATTGTTTTTTTTTGTCTTAACCTTCCACGCACGCAAATTCGTTCATCGTCACGTGATTAAACTGTTAATTACAGCCCGAAGAGTCTCTATCCGACGATTTCCTATTCCCGATGTCGTCTCTCAGATTATCGTACGCCAGCTCGCCCGAAAGCGATTTGGAACACAGCCCCGGCCCGCCCACTTCGCCCAATATGCCAGGAAATACCGTAAACATCGGTAGATTAACCAAGGCCAGCTCGGATCCTAGCGTGGTGATGCCTGACAGCAGTACGACCGACGTACTGCCGCCCTATCAGGTAAAAACGTCGAAAAGAAACTTCAACTTCAAAATCGAACGAAAACGTGCTTTTTTGCAGCCAAGTTACGATACCAGGTACGGGTTTAACAACCAAGACCAACAACCTCTTCCGCCGGACAACCAGCTTACACCTACCGATTCTCCGTTGGTCAAAGAAGCCCCGTACGCTCTTTCAAACCCGGACATCTCTTCCGGCATAGATCCGCAAAATCCGTATGGCAAAGTACCGAGTTACAACGATAAAGCCCCGATGTATCCTGCGGATGCTTACCAAAAACCGGATTATCCCAAAATGATGGACAGCAGGCACGACATCTACAATTCTCCAGACAGAAAGTGAGTAATAATCAAATGTTGCTTATTTATTATCGCAGCAGTTCATGTATGACAGTGACAGTTTATGTATGAGAGCGTCAGTTTGATGTATGACAGCGACAGTTGAAGTAGGAGAGCGACAGTTGAAGTATGACAGTTATTTTTGTTCAAATGGCTTCTCTGTTGCCTTTCAGAAACGAATTTAACGGCGACAAACCGATGCAGCAGCACAAGCGACAGGTGAGTACTTTGCACGGCGGTTACAATCACAGCAAGGGCCACAGTCTGGTGGAGCAGAGTCCTGCGAAGGAGGGCGTTTACGGGCAGGTTCCCGATTTACCTCCTCGCGTCGATAGAGCCGCCAAACCTATGGGATTGTTGACCACCACTCCGAACAAAGTACCGAACGGGTAAGTAAAGAAACGTGAAATATCTGGAGAGGTGTTATTTTTGGTTGTTTTGTAGACGATCGGCTCACGAAAGACTGTTCGGAGCGAAAGTAAATCCGCAAGGCGAAAATGCTGATCAAAATATCAACGAAAACGGAAATTTTAATAATAATAAAGCGGGTTCGCTGGAGAGGAGTCAAAATTCCAAATCGGTATGATTTTATAATATTTTCTTTGCAGCTGTGACATTTGACGAATGACAGTAATAAGTGACATATTGTATACTTACATGACAGCGACAATTGACGTATGATAGTTGAAATTGACATAACTTAACAATATTTTCCCCCGTTTCATTTATTCTAAAACTTAAACAAAATTACAGACCAGTGGCGGCTCGCGATTTGTGTAATAGGGAGAGCTAAGTATAAGGGAACCAAAAAATCAATACCAAAAATCATTTAAACTTAAGCGGCTGAATACGAGGCTTTTTAATTCCGTTACTTTCATGATAAACAATTATTACGAACATAATTAAATAAACGACATCACAATAGATTAACACGGCAAAACAAACTAGAAATCGATCGCGAGATGGGCTGTCTGAGCTGCGTCCGCTAACGGCACCAACGCATGAATCAAAAACGCATAATTTCTTCCGAATACTCCGCGATCTACACGTTGACGTCAGTAACCATGACAACCGTCCAGCAATTCGCTATGGACTGCTGGTACTACGTCGATACAATAATTATAGCACACATTTATTATATGATAGAGAAAAACCGTATTATTCGTATTGTACAGTTCCAGCTCGTCCGTAACTAATTAAATTAATTATAATTATTGCATTTATTTGTGTTTGACTCTTTTATTGTTAATAAATTCAGGAGGAGTTAAATAAAATTACTGATTAAGTATACTGAAATACTAATTTGTAGATGACTCCTTCTACTTTGCAGAGAGGGCGGCGTCCCAGCGCCCTCTTTCACCAGCCGCTAGTTTTACAGACTTTAATTTGTACAAGAAAATAGCAGATACCATAGTATCATTTAGTAACGGGTCTTTTACGAATAAGTAATTTTTGGACATTTCCGACGAACATGTCCGTGACATGTCCGGACAAGTAGTCGAATTTAAACAACTATAAAGGTGTAAAATAGTTAGGGTCGTCTTATACAAGCTAGTCATGGCCGACTTTATATTTTGTTGTGGATGCTTTGTATTTACACATTGAGCACCAAAGGATTTTGACAGTTTATCCTTCCAGCTTATGCATACATTTTTTATTAAAATATCTCTTAAGTCATGGCGGTCCTTGGTGACTGATGTTAAACTAATCGGAAAAGCAGTGGCGGTTACGTATGACCGCTCCAGAATTATTACTAGCAATAATATAACATTGGCGATCACCATAGAATGCTAAGCTACTTTAGCAGCGGTCAACGGTGACCGCCGTGGTGGTCACTTATGACTGCCACAGAATTTTGACTAATAATAACTTTAGTATGTGTTCAGGTAATTCAAAATGATATAAATCATTGGCGATCACTATGGAGAGTAAGCTAGTTTAGCAGCGGTCATTGGTAACCGCCGTGACACTTAACGTTTTAGGTCTATAATTTTTATGGTGTCAACCCGTTTGCCGTAATTTTTAAATTGGTATGTTAAGTAATATTTATTAAAAAAATATATTTTATTTGTGCAGCTGTGTATGAAGGTGTTAACTGTGTGATGCTTTTTAAAACTGTACAGTAAATATATAAATAAAAAATAAAAATAAAACTTTAAATAAGTTATTTAAGTATATAATTAAATGTATTCTTTGTATTTAACCTTAAAATTTTGTATCAAAATTTAAATGTTCCAGTTTTGCGGTAAAATAGAGTTTTCTAGTATTTTTTTTAGCAGAATTACAAGTTTTGTATATATAACACATTTTCTGACTATTATTCAACGAATTTAAATTATTTTGCACTTATTTTGCTTTTTAATACTTCAATCGACTAATTCAACAGTTTTTTATGAATTTTTGTCCGTAATAACAATATTTTTGTTCCTTCAGAATTCCTCTCTTTTTATTTGGGCTCAATCCCTACAGATATTCCTTTAGAATTAATCTTTTTCATGCATCAATGTTCTTGTCCTAAACAAAAACATTATTCTCCAAATTAGAGTTATCTATCACCCACTTCCACTTATTGTTTCATCTTTATATCATCACCACTTAGAATATCATCTTGTTCTAGATTTAGTACAATATAATCAACATCAAAACATTCTTTCAACACCAATTCCTCAATATCTTCATCATAATATTTCCTATATTAAATCATAGGTGTCATATTCAGTTTCTGTATTATTACTATCAATGAAGTGGAGTGTAGTAGAATCACTGAACTCCCCACGAGTGGAACAATACACGATCCTACCGACCTAATAAAAAATGGCACAATCGTGAGATGTTTATAGGAAATACAATGCATGCGCATTACGGAGTTTTTAAAATAATTATTATTGTTTGCCTCATATTAATTATCAAAACTGGATCGCCTCGCCCGCCACCTTATTTCTTGCCTGTTGATTATCCCTGACCTAAGTACACTCTTTCTTTGGTTGTTTGTTTTTATTATCGACAATTGACGTATGACATTAACCACTGCTCTAGCTTAGCCAAATATTTACGGTACGAAATTGTAAGGCACGTCATGTTTTAGGACTCGTTATCGAGTTACGACTCGTACAACAAACAAGCGTCCACCCGAATCGGTCCGAACGCTCACGACGATCTGAAAACGACTCTATCGAAAATCGACCCGACCGGGAACATCCAAAACAGCCCGTCGAAGTACAATATGGGTCCCAGATGGGATCAAAATTCGCACAGGCACGGTTCCAAGATGGATTTGAAGTACGGCTTGCCCGCCGGCGAGCAGCTCATGGATAGCAGTCCGAGGAATTCCAGGGAAATGGGGAAGGATAGTCCGATGGATCCTGCCAGTCCCAGAGGGTCCGTGGAGAGGGATATTTACAGGTATAGCGAACCCGAATAGAAGAGATACTATTACGTCAGTAGCGCGCGTTGGTAGAATGGCTCGTTGTCATTACTAATAGTACGAATAACTGTTCTGAAACGGTGACGTAATGGTATCTTCTCTGCTTACGTTCGCTTTAGTGAGACTGGAAACGAATCATTGAATCAATGTCCAACGTGGATTGTATGTTCGTGAATGGACGGATATATGAAAGGTTGCGAGATCTAATTGTCTTAGGGAACTGATTAAATTTTCGATAAGACATTTGTTTGACAATTTTTATTATTATCGATATTTTTTGCAGGTATTCTAAGTCACCCGCCAAGCAAAGCATTCCTGGAAAAGCGCTCATCGAAACCAAGACAGATTATGGAAAATACAGGTAAGAGTAAGATCGTTTTGACCTACTACTTGCATTGAGAGGATGATCAGTAAAATTTGTAAATTCCTCATTATAAAATAAACAATAACATGAATTTTTCCAACGCACAATATTAATGATGCAGTATTTAAACCCCTTTTAATTAATAACTCTCCACAGACTTGTTCTAATACAAAGGGTATCAGTTTCTATTTTAATCCTTCATTTTCGTAACGTTACGAACATTTTATGAATAAAATTACTGACAACCTTTCGTTCTAGCTCAGATTATGATGATAAAATAATGCAATCTTATGACACAATCCTTACTTAAACGAACCCTTAAAATTTTCATAGCGTTACGACGTACGAAATAGATTTGCGCCCAACGTGGGGCAAATGTTGCAGTTATGAAATTAAGCTTGTAGGGATTTGGTAAACTCTTTATTTCTAAAGGAAATTACAATTTTTCTTTTCAAAATATTTATTGAAAGAACTTTATTAAATATATATCATACTGTAGTATATGTTTATAGATTGATATGGTTTTGTTTTTGTATGATTGCCAATAAAGAGTAAAATATACATTTTTCTGTTCCTCTATGAATCTTCATTCAAAAAAGATATCTGCTGGTTTAATAAAGAACCAATAATATTGTTAGTATATAACTTCAAACAAACAAAAACCAACACAATAAATATATAGATTACAAAAATGCTAAAACTAAATACGACTAAACTAATATATTAAAGGTGGAAAAAGAAAGAAAATAAATCCTTTTTGTCTCACAAAAATTTGTATTTAAACGGCAACCGGTTTCGAAGTGTGATTACTTCATCATCAGGAGAACCTAATGGGTAAGAGAAAAGAAGAATTGGTAAGTTTTACATTGTTAGCAATATTAAGAAGATAGAATATTGATTTAATTTAAGTGAAACTAACAAAACTAATCTACTACTGTTAATTTTACTTAAATCAATTTTCCATCCTTTTAATCTTGCTAACAATATAAAACTAACCAATTCTCCTTTTCTCTTACCCACTAGGTTTGCTTGATGATGAAGTGATCACACTTCGAAACCGGTCGCCGTTTAAATACAAATCTTTGTGAGATAAAAAGGACCTGTTTTCTTTATTTTTCCATCTTTGTAACGTAACAGATTTGGCGCCCAACGTGGGGCCTAATCTTTTATGTCGTTGCGCCATTTTCGCAACCAAATTGATTTTTGTATCTTTTTTAGCCGCAACAATTCCAACCACCATCAACCGCCGCCGGAATACACTCGAAACTCGCACCAGGATCTGCGCGAATCCACTCTGAGCATCCACCAACAGTCGCCGTTGAGAAATCCGCCCGGACACCACAACGGGTACGACCCCGGCGGTCCGCCGAATCACATGGGCGGCGGACCGCCCAACGGGAATACCTACAAGCCCATACCGCCGCCGAAGCCGAAGAACTACAAACCGCCGTACAAGCAGCAGGGCGGCGTTTACGGCGGCGTCGATCCGATGATCCAACCGCCCCCGCCGGCGTATCAGCACGGGAAGAGTCACAGCAATCCGGTGGTGAGTACAATATTAATAATAATGTCTTTATAAACAAATGAATGCATCGAGAAGACGTAGATTAGTTAAAGCTACTTGTTAACTATGCTACTAACGTATTAACAGCGATGGAGCTGATACGGAGAGCAAAGTTTGTGTGAGAAAGACTATCGCTTCTAGTTTTTGGTTTGCGCCATCTCCTTTTATACGTCGGACGTTCGAAACTGCATCCCGAATCGGACGGGTAGAATTTTTTAACATTGAAATTACATCCCGGGTACAACGAAACTGCATCGGCGGTGCAAATTTTATTACTACTAAAATTCTACGAAAATTTAATCATTGTTGTCATGCTACATTGTTCGCGCTATAACCCCTATTTAGAACATAAACAGAGGTTATGATGTTATGCACTCGGCTGTTGAGAATCTCAGGACTGGGTCGTACTCGTTTCTTTAAATGGAGTCACTAGGAAGGGTTGAGGGTGCCTAGAAGTTACCTGCGGGCGCCAGTGATTTGTTTTAGCAAATATTCAATGAAAGTGACTTTGGAGTAAATCACAACCCCTAACTCCCGCAAATAAATTCTAAATAATAAGATCTCGTTAAATAAATAATAGGTTGTTTAATAATTGATAATTTGCCAAATAAGGATACTTATATAAAATGATTTGTTAAATAAATAATGAAATAGTCTAATACTTTACTAGATATGAGTACTTATGAGAAATAATCAGAAAATTGTGAACAACAAAATAAATCAATTGAATTTACAGTGAATCTGTCATAAAAAAAAATAAAAGCTTATCTGATTTGGTTTTGGTGTTGTTGGGTACTGCTGCGTTACTTTTCTGATGGGTGTACTTCGTTCTTAGCAGATATTTCTATTCCAGAACCTTGTGTTTCTCTATACTAATGCCACATGCGGAAATCCGGAATCCTTTGAACTGGTTGATTCTAGCAAGGAATCATTTATCGTCTTGACATTGTATACAGCTAGCAAGTTAGGATCTTCTTAAAAAAACCTCATACGGCTTCTGTAAGGCTTTCGTAAGGCTCCTGGAAGATACGATTTTCGGTATGCCGTAAGACGTACGGTGTACGGCCTAAGACGTACGGCGTACGGGCCAGGAATTATTCTGAATTAGGAAAAGAAAGAAATGAAAATGATTTATTCATCAAACAAAGGATATCTTTACAGGAAGGGATGTTTCTTGCGAGGAAACAACTTCCATTTTTTTTGGACAGATATTTAAATATATTTTTAAAATCAAAATTACTGCATAGATTTCTGACCATTTTAAATATGGCTGCCGACATGATTTTACCTTTAAAGACATCCAATTTGACAAAGAAAATTATTAAACAGTAGATATGATTATTAAACAGTAGCTAGAATAAGAAAATGACTCTAAAAACCTAGTAATCTATGAATAGACTTACCCCAGCTTTAATTCTAGTTAGCAAAAAGATAATAACGACATGCGTCTTTCTGACGGCAAAATTCAGAGCGCAAAGACAGAATGCTTTCAACGGGTTCGTCTCGCCTTTGGTGTCTTGCGCATAACGATACTATGAATACAAATCGATATGCCAAAAACACGACAAGAAAACTTTGAATTCATTAATTTGACTTTGCTATTTCCCGTTAGATGGAACTACTTGTACAATATTTGAATTTTAATTTGAAATTAATAATATGGACTAAGTACATGTTACAGTCAAATGTAATTTTTGAAAGTAGGTACAGGCATCGCATCCTAATTTGTCAGTAGTGGGTTATAGTCTTCGCACTGCTGGCATACCTTCAAACGATCTTAATGGCTACTATTAAATCTCAGTAGCGTATACTAGTTTCGCTTAAAATAAATTTTCTAGGATTTTTAAAACGGCCACGCTCAGATGAATCACAAAATTTTAAGAAAATTACCTAAAATTTTAATCTTTAATCATGGTCAAATCGAGTCCGCCCTCGTTTCTAAGAATGTTTTATCAACAGTGGCTATCATTTGTTGGTATTATAGGAAATACCAGAGTACTTACACAATGAATCAAACGTAATTATGTAATATCGTAGGATGGAATATCTGTTACACTTGATATTCTTTCGCGCTTTTTTGGACTTTTAAACAATTGTTTAGGTATGGTTGACATAGACTTTTCACCTTTTGATATCTGGTCACCTTCTATAATTATTCGTTCAATTGTTTTTACCGAGTATCTTATAGCGTCAGCGAGAGTTTTGGGATCATCATTCACAACACATTGTCTATAAGTTTCACTATCATCGTTGTTTTTTTTTTCTTCTTCTTCAGAACTATTTGTTGTCGAGGACCATTTTTTTTTTTTTTTTTCATAATAGTTATTTATGCAAGAAGTGTGTAAAGTTACCCTTTTTTGACGAATGTGAATGTGACAATCACATGAGTCAAAAAAGGGACTTTACACACGAGTGGCATACAATATTTTTTCTACTACCGTACACATAATCCACTAATATTAGAAATATAAAAGTTACTTTTTTTCACTAGTGAAAAAAAATACTTTACTTTACGCACTAGTGAAAAAAAGTAAAATGTGCCAAAAATTGTACACAGCAACAAAAATAAATTTATTGGAACTTTACAAATTTATAATTCTTACAGAACAAACTGACTAACAAGAAGAAATATTTAAAAAAATAGGTTTTTAACTCTTATGAATATTAATATTGAATGTGCAATTATTGCAATTACCAAAACTTAAGGTTTTGGCCTTTTCCAGCACAGAGTTTGAAAAATGTTGTGATATTACTTCTGTAACCCTATTTTGAGCTTCGAGTGGTATGGATTTGGCCTTTTCAAGTAAAGAGGTTGAAATATTTTGTGTAACTCTAGTTTCACTGTCGAGTGGTTCCACTAATTCTTCATTAGAGTTGTCAACGGTAAAATTGTAGCTTTGTTTGGAAGTGAATGGCATACTGTCATCCATCAAAATTTTATTAGAAATTTTGTTTTTTTGTGTTATTGTGCTGTCTACGTAGCCTTCTGCAACAGCAGATGATTTCCATCCTCCATGTTTTTTGACCGTTAGAAGGTCTCCTCCAGAATTTGCCAGCATAGTGGCTGAATACCTCCTAAAGCAGTGTCCTGTAAAAGCCGTTGGATTGGGCAAGTTTAGATACGTTGCTATAACACTTGGCAGTTTAGCAAAAGTATTTATCCCTACAGGCTGTTTAGAATATTTTCCATTTGCGAATTTTAAAAAAAATCTGTTACAATTTATATTTGATGGTCTTAATGAGGTATATTTTTTTATGAAAGATAAATAATCAACTGCAGAATTATTTGGTTTTAAAATCGTAAAAATGCGTTCTATTCCATTTTTGGTTTCTGATACTTTGACAATATACACTGTTTGTTTATCTTCCACATCGTTAATTGTCATTTTACATAATTCTTCCCGGCGACAAGCTCCCGCAATTCCAATTACAAAAGCTACCTAAAAAATAACATATTGTAATGTTACAAATAATTTATTAAACATTAGGAAATATCTTGACGTTGCGCATGTAACTCCAAATAAATGCTATTGTAAAAAATATAAAAGTTTTAGGTATAATGTGCTGCCTAACAACCCCGATGGCCTGTTGCAAAACTTTACAGAATATTTTAATTTTATACTGAGCATTCAAGCATTTACTGAGGCATTTACTTACTTTGATCATTAAAAACTTGGAATTTGGAGCTTTCAACAGAAAATTAATTAGATCTTCGCGTTCAAAAATTTTGGATTTTTTTGGTTTATAACCTTTATTTTTTTGTTTGAGAAACGCTATTAACTTGTTGAATTTCGAAATATCAACGTTGTTTTTATATTTTAAGGTGCTTTTAAGCATAGAATAAATCGACCATAGGGTAGAAGCTTTGCAATTCTTCAATTCATCAGAGAAATATGCTAAAATAACGTTTTCCGAATATTTTGTCACCTTATTCTTCCTACACCATTCTATAAATGCATTGTATTTTTGCTGATAAATATATGCAGATTTTTCTGGCAATAAATTTTCAGTGGCCTTTTGTGCACTGCATAAGATATCTGGGGGAGTATTATCAAATTCGCTATCGCCAGATAAATTTGAATCCATATCGATTATGACAGATATAATAAACTGCAAATAAAATTTGAATTTAAGTAAACAAACATTAAAAAGTAAAACTTGATTGAGTTTTAAAAAATGCTAAATTGGCTTTAGAATCTAATCTTGAACTTAAGTATACTTTTGTCGTGTTCTGTTATAAGGTAGGTACTAATTAAAAGTTTAGAGATTGACAGTTCTTCTAATCCACACAGCCACGGCCAACTTACTTTTACCAAAATCAACATCCACTGTATGTTTACTTTTAATTAAATCGATGACATTTAGAGAAAATTATAATTAAAATAAACTGTTGATAATTTGTTGGACACTAAATAGATATAAGCAAAAATAATTTATTTATTTGTCTTAGAAGGAGATAGCAAAAAAATGTTAATATAAAATAAAACGTTATATTTTGTTATGTACAAATTTTGTCAAATTTTACTTTTTTTAACTAGTGCGTAAAGAGTTTTACTTTACGCACTAGCGAAAAAAAGTACAACTTTACACACTTCGTGGAGTGCGTAAAGTACGTACTTTACGCACGGTAGTAGAAAAAATATTTGAATAGATGAAATATTATTTATTTTGCTTGACTACCTAAATGTTTTGGCATTTTAACACAAGTAAGTCACTACTCAAAAGAAAACACTACAAAAAAATAAAGCATTATTCTTCTTTGCTGAGAACCACTAATTGTTGTGAGTCTTTTTATTCGAAATATAATGCTTCTTTTTACGCCGCTCACCCTAATGTGAATGTTTTTATAAATGTGATAACTTAATTTCAAATTGACACATATATAAAAATTAATAATGTTCTAATCCCAAAAAAAAAACTTGACACTCGAAGTTTAAGAAGAAGAAGATTTCTCGAAGATTTGCTGAGTGATTTAAATCAACATAAAATAAGTAAATTAGAAAGTTTTAATTATATTTTACAGTTTTAGTAAACATTTAAGTATGTAGTTGTTGTTAAATTATTAGTCAATTACAAAATACCTAGATTAATTAAAAAAATAACAGAAGTTACTAAAAAGAATCAATATTCCTAAATCCTTACTGGCTAAAAAATATTTTCTGAAAATGTTATTGACTGAATATAAAAAGAACGTTTGTAGAATTTTTAATAAACAACGTAAAAGGTGGCAACAATGGCTCAATTTTATAGTTAAGTTTACTTAGCCTAGGATAAGTGACCCTTACCTTATGGGGATACAATTTCGTTGTGACCTACTTCGAATCAGGTAAAAAAACCTTTTTTGGGATGCATTTTCGTAAGAGCTTTATGCCTAGTACCCAATTCAAGAATAAAATAAACAAAATTGAAATTTTACGATTTTTCCAAATATATTGTCACGTTTTACGTGTTCTTTAATAAAAATATTTCGATATTTCTATGTCCCGAGGGTTAAATGACCAAATATATGAATCGGGGCTCAATCATGTTAACACTGTATAAGAGCACTACTCTAAAATTGAAACCTCTAAATACTAAAGGAAACACAATGTTTTCTCAAAACAAATAATAATAATAATAATAATTTCAGGGGGTGGATTGGCTCAGTGGTTAGAGTCATGACTTTGAGATCGGAAGGTCTCAGGTTCGAATCCCACCGTTGGCCGGAATTTTTTCATTTAATTTAATTATTTAAAATTAATTCTGATGCCTTGGTAGGATTCCCCACTCGACCATTCACTGTTGGGTTCTAATTAACAGTGCTGTTCTTAAAGTGGCGCTGGGAAACCGTAACAAAGCCTACACAGAACACGAGGCGAAATAACCTTAGCAGCTGAAGCCGATTACACAAAAAAAAAAAATAATAATAATCGTTTATTCAATTTTTCTTCAATTATAATACAAAATTTAAATTTAACTAATAATATTGAAATACTTATAATTAATTATATAAAATTCACCATATGATTCGAATATCTATACTCGGACAAAATATTGAAGAAGGTGATTCCTTCCTGTTCACGTACAACAATCATACTATACCAGAGCCATAATGAATGGAATCATGCGCTTAAAACTGCAGAAGTTATCGGAATCACGTGCCAACTAGTCATAAATGCATGTTTATTGCCAAAATGAATTACCCCAGTGACGTATAAAAACTATTGGCAAATTAAATGCGGTAATAGTAAATAATATTAGATGAAAGTAGGTTGGTTATCTATTTTTGTAGTAATAATCATTTATGTTTATAATTTTGTTTTGTTTATTGTTAAAATATGTAAATATTATGCCAGTGGCGTAGAAACACTATTGGAAAATTAAATGGGGTATTATACTAGAACAAAATATTGAAGAAGGTGCGCCTTAAAACTGCAAAAGGTATCGTTATCATATCAAAATGCACTCTTCCAGAGTCGCAGAAATACTATATTGGCAAATTAAATGTGAATATTACTAAATGAAAGTAGGTTGGTTATCTGTTTTTGTTATAATAATTATTCATCTATGTTTATAATTGTATTTTGTTTATTATAAAAATATGTAAATTAAGCTTGGTATCACTTACTTGAATTCTAAATCTATGAAGTTTTGTAATCCATTGATTCTGCAGAACTATCACTGGAATCGTCTTTATCGTCGGAACTTAAAGTTATGTCTAAAGGTTCAACTACCGTTTCGATCATACCGTCCAAGCGCCACATATTATTTTCTTCCTTAATTACATGGGAAATAGCATTCTGCCAATCTTCAGGTTTTATACGTTCTATACCGGTTTTTAATAAACTTTGAACGTCGGCTATTTTAATAGTTTTATTTTTTCGAGCTACAAACCCTTTCACTTAGGCCCAAATTAGTTCAATAGGATTCAATTCGCAAGGATAAGAGGGAAGTCTTAGTTCCGTAATACCACGATCACGAGCCATTGTGTCGACAACATATTGAATATATTTATGGCGGTGTTCCTTTATTAGGTCCATTAATTCCACTTTAAACATCTCCTCACTAAATGTTATTGCTTTATCCCGCAACCAGGTTTGCATACCCGCTTTCCTACTGGACATTATCGGAATGCGTTCAACTCGTCGACTGTGATAAGAAGCGTTATCTAGTACAATAACTGAATTTCGTTCTACACGCTGTAATACTTCAGTAAACCATTTTTCAAAGCATTCCGCATTCATGTCCTCGTGGTAGTCTCCTGTTTTTTTTGATATAAACACAAGAGCGCTATTTTCCAAAAATCTACTGTCACTTCCGATATGGGTAACAATTAGGCGCTGTCCTTTTCCTGATGGTACTTTGAAATCTGTAGATAATCCCTCTATAAAAGCTTGGCGATGACTAGTTACAGAAGTATCTTGCCATATCTTAGATACCGTGTGTCCAGCATTCACCCACGTTTCATCGAGATAGTATATCTTTTTTTTTAGCGGGTCTAAACTCTTTAATATTTCGTAAATAACGCCGTCGCCAGGACACTATATTTGACCTCTCAATTAAAATTGATTTCCTACACCGTTTGACAAAACGAAATTTTAGGCTCATTAATGGAATTTCTTCGTTTTCTCTTAATTTCGTAAGAACAACTTTAAGTATTGGGGCTTTGTTTTCGGAAAAAAAAAGTGTACAGTTCTTCGAATGATTTGTTTTTGGTTATCGTCCAATTTCAACAATTTTCGACCACGGGTATGCGTTTTAGGGGCTTCTAAGGAGCCTTTTTTGTCTTTTCGCGTACAATACGTTCAAGTGTTGAAATAGATACTCCAGTTAAAAAAGAACTGCGGTTTACAGCTTCATTTGTAGGAAGTGTCTGTTTCAGCCCATCATACACATTCCATATAATGTTCTTTTCATCCTTTGATAAGGGCTTTCGCCGACGTAATTGGGTTTCATTTGGACCCCGCCTCTGAATCCATTACTATTGTAACAATATAATTCTACTATTAAATTGTTTTTATTAAATTTATAAAGACAACCATATTTTACTATTTAATAAACTTTTAAAGTACCTACCTAATATACTACACAATAAATATAACTCCTCGAATATGCACTACCACTACCAAATTGTAAGGCACAAACATGAACACCTACTCTTTTATCAGAAAAGAGCACTTATACATAAAAGTGTTTATAAAATACAAAATAATTATCGTAAATAGTTAAAGCTATACAAATCTAACTTCGTCGAAAGTTAGTTTTCAACTGTCTTTGTGCTTGTGCTGACAATATTCAATCTGTAACCCGTCTGTCGTTTATATACTTGAAACACATTTTAAAACCATTAAACACAGATAACGAAGTCATTAGGGCATAAATATATTCATTGCTTGCAAACTATCAAAAACGTATATTTAACGCATCATCTTTGTTTAAATAAAGATGTTGACAAACAAATTTAATAAAGTTTACTAACAAATACCTAATAAATAATTTGGTATTTGATACGCTGCCTATGCTGACTCTGTCGGAATTTTCATTCATAGACAACAGTGTTGATCATGCATATGATTCACCTTCTCCAATATTTTGTCCGAGTATAAAATAATGGATAGTTTTCATTGAAATTATTTAATATTTATTTTATTATTAAATAGTACCATCAACCTTGCACATGATTGCAACTTAAAACAAATTGTCAACATAATTAAACAAAGTTTTATGTACAGGATGTTATTTCAATAATTAATTAAAATTAGGAAAAATATGAATTTATACGAAGCGTTACAATATTTCAAATTTGTCTGGACTATAAGTGTTTATAGTACCGGAAACATTAATATAAAATTGGAAAATTAAATAAAAAATATTCTCTTTACAGGACCAACGAGTGCAAAACATAAACCTCTCTCCCCACCACAACTACTACTACAACACGCCCCCTCACAATTACCATCCGGCCGGCGACCCCAACATGCGTTACCCCCCAGGAAACGGGGGTCATTACGACATGGCTCCTCCATACACGGAGTCCCCCAGGAGACACACCAGCATATCGTACGCCAGTCGCAGCGAGATTACCCCCATATCGCAACACCACGACGGGACTTACGGGGACGTTATGGAAACGAGGCCGCCCATAGTGGACCTGCAAGGTTCCAGGGAGCAGAGGGGGTCGGCCTTCGAACTATACAGGAAGCCTGTCGGACATAATTTGAGGTGAGTTCGTTTTTTAATGTTGATTTGTGTTTTTTTGGGGACTGCTTCTTTTTTGTGCTGCGATGTGTTTTATTTTATGTTTCGGTAAAATATATTTGTGAAATTATTTACATTCATTTTATTTAAAAATACAATTTTTTGTCTTGGACTATGATTCATGTAAAATTAAAAAAGAATATTGTTTAGTTATTAATAAAAAATTGTTTGTTTCTAATTTTAACCTCGATTGACCTGGACTATTATTTATAGAAACGGAAAAGTATACACAAAATTGACAAGAAAGAAATTTTTGCACAATGTTGAATAGTTTATTTTTTGTCAAATGTTCACAAATATTATTTTAAGAAATTCGAGTGTAAAAAATGTAATAAGCTTGTTTTATATATATTTGTATGTACACTGGTTGCCTCTTTCTCTTTCTATCTGTCTTATCGTTTTTTGTTTTCTGTTTGATGTGTTTTTTTTTGTCGTGACTTACACTTTAATGTTCTTGCACAGGATAAGCTACAATTTGGACATATAAATGTATATTGGTATGTTAAACGTGTGTGTTTGGTGTTTTAATTATTTTATTGTAATAATCTAACTTTAAATTTTTTTTGTATATTTTTGCTATTTTGTTCTTGCATGCTTTAAAAGTTATTAAATTACCAAAAGTATTTGGAAAAATTGTAAAAAATTGCTCAAGGATAGAAACTTTAAAAAATTACTCGAATGAAGAAGTGGCTGCAGGGTTCAATATCGCTAATTACACAAAAGTTAATTAACTAACTATTTTCTCGAGAGGTAGAGAGCTATAAAAAAAGCTCGAGAGTTAAATGTAGTTAATTACCCACGAGTTAAAGAACTGTTCATTGTTTTAGAGATAAAGGAGAGTAAAAATTTACTTGAGAAATTAAAAACCCGTTTGAAATTGTTTAAGAGTTTAATTTTCAAATTTGTACATTCCAGTTAACTTTCAAATAACTGAAAAAGAACTATTTAATTATTATTTGGAAGTAAAAACATTTCAAAATTGCTCGAAAGTTAAATGTTGTTAATTACTCGAGAGTCAACATTGCTCGAGGGAAAAATCACTGTAAAAATTTCCCTAGAGATGAAGAAGCTTTAAATATTTCTCGAGGGAAAAGAAACATGAAAAAATTACTCAAGTTAAAAATGACTTGATAGTTAAATATTTGTAATAACTAGACAGTTTAATCATAACTTGAATGTTTAATCATTACTTGAAAGTTAAAGAAACATTTAAAAATTGTTCGATAGTTAAATAAGAGTTAATGGACCATTTATTGCTTAAGTTTGCTCGAGCGATCAAAAACTGTTTAAAATTTCTTGTGAATTAATTTTTTTATTAAAATTAAGTCTACAAAGCTTCCTTTAGTTAAGATAACAAATTTGCATGCAGTTATTAATGAATTACATAATACTGCTGCCACCTATCGAAGAAATAAGAATTTACGATATGGAATGAAAAATCGCATCACTTTGATGGTTGTATTATAAAAATCGCGATGTAAACATTTGCTGTAGTTCTTCCGTTCTTCGATAGATGGAGCTACGACTTTATAGAATGTTATTTCCTTTATTATGTATACATAGTGTACACTATTTCACAGGCACCCTATTGGAATCTCGTAAAGTAGAAGAAGATGAAAATGAAATAGTGTTATGTAGTCTATGGTTATGTTTTATTGTTACAAAATTATTGTCTATTGTGATGGCTACTAAATAAATAGGTTTTGTGTTTAAGATTGAACTATTAACACTTTAAACTTTATTAATTTTATTTTTGGTTATGGAAAAACTTTTGTACATAATTTTGTTGGTAGTTTGACCTAAGTGACTGCCGAAAAAAAATTGTCAAATTAAAAATAAATAAATGAAGCTACCTATCAAGTGATCCGGCTAGCAATTTAATATCTAATTTATTTAATATTGTAAGCTTATTCTTTTCATTTGTATCATAAATAATAACTGAAGATATTAAAGTGCCCCAAAGAAATGGAGAAACTAGTTCAAAGCCCATGGCAGACCATGTGAATTTTTCTTTAATTCCCAATGGTTCGTTTTAGGATTTGATGGGTGGGGTATCCATTACCAGTAATATAATTTCTATTGAGACAAATATATTTCAATCCCAATGGGCTGTCGTCTCGGTAGTAGTATATAGGTAGAATATTATTATTTATGGGGATTAATAGAGCTTTTATTATATGACATTATTAATTTAACAGAGAGCGCAATATAATAATAGTTTCTTTAACATTTTTTTTTCTATTTACTAACTATTAAAAGACCGTTTAGAGATATTTCGTTTGACTTACTATCTCCATTGAGAAGATGAATAGTAAAAGTTGTAAGTTCCACATTATAAAGTAAACAATAACAGCCTCGTACTTTGATGCTCGATAGGTATAGTAAAATGTATGAATTTAAAAAATTTAAATTTGGACGTTTAGTGCCACTAATGAATCTAATGAAAAATTTAAAAAAAATCTAATGTGTCCAATTCATGACTCCTGTCTTACCTAAAGTTATAGGCTAGTTCTGGTTATTCTATACGACCTAGTGTATCACCCCTGTAAATGTTTAGAGGATGATTTTTAATTTATTGTTAAAAAACCTTAAGAGTATCACTTTGAAAATCGCTTATAGTCATAAATGAATATGCGACGGTATTTTTTAACCTACTTTTTGTTGTTTTTAAGAAGGGGTAAAAAAAATAGATCCATAGTTAATTTTCCGTTTTATTTTATTGCAAATTTTTGTTGTGGCTTTTTGATTTATTTAAAATCATTTTCCGATGTTAAATAATGTAAAAAATCAATTATTAATAAAAAAATTGAATGTGTATACTTATATGGAATTACAAAACAATACAAAAATGTATTTATTAGGAGGGTGTAGCTTTGTAATAAAGGGATAAAAAATGTAATATTTGATACATGTACATTTCTTTTACAGAAATGGTTGATTTTTGGTATTTTTTTAAAAAACAAAAATGTTTCTAAATAAATGAGAAAATCACAATAAATATTGTCAACAATATAAAACAAAGTTCAAAAGATATTGGACAATTTAATTAAGTGTTGGTATTTTTAACCGTTTTGTAGAAGCAAAAAAATTGGAAAAATACTATTTTCTACACACACATGGATATAAGCTTATCTACGCACATATTACAAAGCGAAAAAGTATGCTATTGCGTTCAACTAAACGAATATATTTCATATCCATTCTAGATAGTGAGAACACTGCACAAAATGAAATCCACCAATCACAGTTCATATTTTGGACACTCAACTACTGTTATTTTTAAAATTTTAAATAAGTGACAATTCTGTCAGTCTATTTTTAAGTTATTGAGATTAAATATACATTAAAATGAGTTACTTTTGTTTAGAATCGATAAATAATAGCATTTTTATTTGGGCCACATTTTGAAAAAAAAAAAAATTAATTAAACTTTATGAAACTAATTTAATTACGAGTATTGAAATAAAATTTTTAAAAGTGGCGATAGAGCTGGAGACAGCACATCTAGCTTCCACGCGAATAGCCCGGTAGTCCAATCATTATAGTAAGTTCACCTCGGAATTCGAGATACCCAGCTGTAAGTCTGTAAATACTTGTATATTGACACCCTAAAAGTTGTCTCAAAACCTACATATAGTAGGGTGTACGCACCTATTAAATTTCAAGGTCAAAGGTCAAAAAAATCGGTTTTTTGCGCTTTTTTTGTAAATATCTCATTTCCTATGGGTTTTTTGCTATTTGTATTTATTATCAATATTGTAGAATACAAAATTCTCTAAAAATTTTGTTTAAAAAAATTTTTCATACGGTGAACCGTTTTCGAGATAGATGACGGAGAGCGCGCGGTCACAGCATCACTTCAGGTCAACCGGTGCCTCCGGTCGAAAACGCGCCATATATAGTTGATGAAATATCGATAAATCAATGATTATAAATATTTGTCAATTTTTATTAACTATTATATTATATTTTATCATTTTTTTTTTCCTAACCTATCCATTTTTTATTTAGTATTAATTTATTTAACAACACTTACCTGCCCATGTAATTGCAAAATTGTTAATGAAAATATAGGAATTATATTTGAATTTTAACCTAATTAATATTAATAAATTCTTACATGATGAAAAAAAAAACAAATAAATTATGAATTAATCTTTTAATTAAAAAATTTCATTCAATACATTTATTTTTATTAAAAGTAAAAAAATGGAATAAAAGGTACAAAAACTACAATTTATAATTTTAATAATCTTCTTCCTCTTCATCGTCGTCTTCCGGCTGCTGGTAAATTTCAAACTGGTCTTCATTATCGTCTTCAACGACATTTCTCTCAAGTTCTTCCATGATTTCGGGGTCAAAGGTTCCATCTTCGTTAATGTCGCTCTGATATGGTAGAGCATTGAGACAAGCTTGCCCATTACATTGGCCACAAGCTAAAGAGCATTGCAAGCCCGCTTTCCTGCATCAGCATCGCGAACCACAACCACTCTTGCAGTTGCAGAAAATTGTATTTAGCAAATCTTCTGGAGCAGGTGATAAAATTGTCATGATAGGCTCCAGAAAATCGTTTCGCATTGCCCAACTCCATACCTGGGGTTCCAAATCATGCCTTAACCAAGTTTGAATTTAATAATATACACGTTTGAAAGGTTGATGAGCAGCTGCTTTTGTTGGTGGAATATTTGAAAGCTGCACAGGTTAATTAAGTTTTGTAGACTTGACGTAATGCATATAAACGAAGATGATCGAGACTCTTCACAGATTTCGGAGCATTATAGACTGCCAATAAGATTTGAGTTCCACTCTCTAATAATCTCTGGGCCGAACAATTTTCTTTCTCAAATGCTGCAGCTAGTTCATTCAAATTTGTCAGTTTCTCAAAAACTTTAAAAAATTATTTTTTCCCTTTTTAAAAAGCGCAGAAGTTGTGTCACAGCCACTTAATGCGTGCAGAAATAAAA